ACTCTTTCCTGCCTATGCAGGGGGTCGGACTCGATGATCTATTGAGGTCCCTTCCAACCCTAACATCTATGAATCTATGAATCCATTAAATGAGTTAAGAATGCAAGCTGCACAAAGAAGGGATGAAAGAATTAGGGGTGTTTAATTTGGTGAAAAGGAGATTAAGGTGTTATTGTGGGGGGCATGTTATCAGTCTTCAGCTACTTGAAAGGCTGTCATAAAGAAGGGAGAGATACAACTGGTCTCCTTTGCCACAGAAGACGGCATGTAGCAGCGGGCTTAAACTGTAGCAAAACAGACAGACATTAAATCTCAGAAAAGAAATTCCTTGCTGTCAGAACTGTAGGATGGTGAAATAACCTCTCCAGGGAAATTGTGGAATCTCCTTCATTAGAGCTTTGTACAACAAAGCTAGAAAAGTATTTGATAGGGATGGTTTAGGAACAGTGCATCCTACATTTGTGCAGGTTTGGACTAGATGACCCTTGAGGTCCCTTCCAACCCTGTAAGGCTATGATTTTCTGCAAGAAAAATCCCCTAGAAAATGAGCTGCTGTATTCTTTATTTGTTTATCATGGTGATAATGTAGTAGCTTATTATCTTTCCATTTCTTGTTGTGCTTTTCTCAGTAGTACATTTTTTCCATAGTTTTTCTCTGATTTTATATTTACTTCTGGCATGAAGGATTTATGAATCACTCTCAGCCTTCTCCCCCGATTTCTTACCAATACTTTTAAACCTCAGGAACTTACCAGGAGAGTCTTGCTCAGGCAGTCGGGGCCATATTGGTCACTAGAGATAGGGTAGGAAGGAATTTTTACCCAAGTCAGACTTGTGTAGATTTGCCTTCCTCTGGAGTAGAGGGCACAGTCCTCTTTCTACAGTCATTTGATAATATAATAATGGTGGCAGGCACTAGCAGTGTCCTTGTCTCCTCTGCTCCTTTCCCATGGCACACTGTAGGATTCATTTTTTCAACTGAGTGCTGTGGGGTCTGGTAGGCCCCTTTCAGTCTGTGTTTATATGTGTATCTAAGTTGCTCAGGAATAAAGTTTTAGCTTCCAACACATTCCAGAAAGTAATTCATGAAAAGATATAGGCCAGAAGTGGTATGCCAAAATCCCTACATCTGAAGAAAAGGAAACAGCTGTACAGCCAGGTGTAAATTATTTAAAATTCTCACATGACCTGGATTCCAGAAGTACCTAGGGATCTAACAGGGGCTTTGGGCTGTAAACATAAATATTGAAGTTAGAGCAGCAAAATCAGATTAAAGTAACTCCTTATGATCTCAGAACAAGACAAGTTACCATGCTTAAATATGCACATTTTCTCATTTTAGGTGCTGTATCCTGTGTGCCATGTGCGTAATTTAATGCTCTGGAATGCTGTTTACCTGCCATGTTCTTCCCCTTCAACCCCTGCTGATGATACTTGTGCCCCTTACCCTGTTCCAGGCTCCAGCCCTGAAGATCAGCCTCTGGGCAGGTGAGCCTAGAGCCCAGAAATCCAGTCTTGTGAAGTAAGATCAACAGAGAAGTTGTGGCATTTAGGGAGAGGAGCACTTGTGGGAGGGAAGTGTTTTTCCAGTGGTCTAACAGTGGGGCCGTTAAGTTGGCTAGCAAATAATCTCTGTGTAGCTGTTCTCAATTTAAAAAGTTGTTAGCTTCATGAGTTGTTGTGCAGCAAACACATCAGAGCCCAGAAGAGATTTTGCAGTAAATTAGCAAATAGAACAAAGTTCGACATACTGCATAGTGCTGGAGCATCCCAGGTAGTATCCTTGGCCGCTGTGCTAGTTCTCCTGTTTCAGTGGACTGCATATGTACTATGGAGATCAGAATGCCATGGGATATTTCACTTGTGGCTGCCTTGCAATTTTTTCTGCAGTCTGCTTTTACCTGTATTACTGTCTTTTAACTAGTGCATCCCTTCTCTTTGAGGAAGCCATTTCATAAAGTGATTCAGGTGCATTATACTTAGGAAATGGGGTATCCTGGGAATTGTCTGAACCTTAGCTGAAGAAATTTTCCTGATGGAGAGCTTGATCCAGAGGAAAGGTACTGGAGGAACTTTGTACCACAGATGATCTGTAGAACTCAGTAATACTGTAGTGCAGTGGTTTTCAACCTTTTTTTATTTATGGATCCCTAAAAGATTTTGAATGGAGGTGCGGACCCTTTAAATTATAAGTGTGGGTATTCACATACTTTTGATTGATCAAAGTCACCTTTCACAGACCCCTTAGACATAGCCCACAGACACCTAGGAGCTCATGGACCACAGGTTGAAAACTGCTTTAGTACATTACCGAATTCAGCAGTGACCAACAGCTGCTTTTGATTTCAGAATGGGGAGGCTTGCAAACTGTTGTATTTAAACATTTTTTTAAAAACAAGCTTTCGATTCTGACTATTTCTGGTCCTTACAGGCTACCAAAGACGAGATCATTTGACAATCTGACAACAGCCTGTGACAGCAATGTGCCTACAAACAACCGACGTAGTAGTGATCCCAGCCTAAACGAAAAATGGCAAGAGCACCGCAGGTCCCTGGAGCTGAGCAGTCTTGGCAATCCAGGGGATGATCCATTTGATGGAGACAGCTTGAGCAAACAATGCAGAGCTCCAGTTGGAGCAGAACTTTCAGTTGCAGCTGGTGTGGCAGAGGGACAGATGGAAAACATTTTGCAGGAGGCCACCAAAGAAGATGTTGGTTTGGAGGAGCTCTTGAGAGGCACACTGGGATCAACAGGTAAAGAGGAGGAGGAGGAGGAAGAGATTGTCCTGGATAAGGAGAACAGAACTGAAAACCTGTGTGTTCATGTTGATGGCTTCTATAAAAAGTCTGAGAGAGATCCAGCTACAATAATGAACAATCCAGTGCCCAATCCACATCCAGATTCACAAGGTGCTTCTGAGTTTAAAGGGCAACAGAATGAATATATTGATCTCAGTAACAATATCCAGAAGTTGCCTCAAGTGAAAGGACTACAAACTGTTACAGAGAGTACTGTAAGTAGTGATATTCAGAACAACATAGAAGAAGGTGTTAGTAGGCTGCAGATGGAAACAGAGAGTCACTATAGTACACCACAGCCCAGCCCTCCATTACCCATCACAATCCATGATGCAAGAACATCCAATATTGAAAGTTCTACTGAAACCTTAACAGAAAACGAAGGAAAGCAAGACCTAATGCAGAAAGGTCCTTGCCACAGACCTCATCTGATAGACAACAGTGCTGTGGAGCATTCTGAAACTGCTGAATATAGGCCAGAAGGGGAAAGCATGCTAGAACTGCACAAAACAGGAACAAAAGTAAACAGGACTTCTAACAGAAATAATACTTACAGCCTAATGCCTTCCCCTTGTGCCTTGCCTTTAGCTGAAAGTAAAGAGGAGATTGTATGTAATGGAGAGCCAGAAACTGAGAACAAGGTGACAGAGAAACCTGCAGGGTTTAATATTACCCAGAAATACCCTGCAGCAAACGGACATTGTGTTAATGGAGAGGATGGTAAGAGCAAAGCCTCCTTGAGCCGGCAGGTCTCCACAGCAAGTTGTAGTTCAGCCCAGTTTCATTTGAGGAATTTGCACCACAAGTGGGTACCGAGCCCTGCTGGTCGGCAGCTGACAGCCAGCAGTCCAGACCAACCTGCCAGGAGCCACCTGGATGATGATGGAATGCCAGTCTACACGGACGTTATCCAGCAGCGCCTGCGCCAGATTGAAACTGGTCATCAGCAAGAAGTGGAGACTTTGAAAAAGCAGGTGCAAGAGCTGAAGAGTCGTTTGGAGAGCCAGTACCTCAACAGTTCGCTACGCTTCAATGGGGATTATGGGGATGAAGTGGTAAGTCTAACGGAATTCAGCCCTTGTTGACAACAGGGGCTTGGCTCGTTAAGCTTTTGGAGCCCCAACTACTATGCTGTATGGTAAGGAATTTTTCCTCTGGTTAGCTGATGTTTTCTGGCCAAGGCAGTTCTTTACAAAAGCCTCAAAGATGCCAAAATGGGCAAAAGTCCAATTTACCACATGACAAATAGCAACTCATGCTAACTGATCTTTTAGCCAAATGTCAGTAGTTTATATTTAAGCTACCAGTGACACTCTAGGATGTGGGTTTGGTATTGAGTTTAAACACACCTTGACTATACTGTGGAATGAGGTGAATCAAAGGTGTCTAAGCACACTCCATGTTTCATGCTGTGTTCATATAAAGATTGAGATAATTTTTTTTAAAGATTTACAACTAAGTTAATAGGCCAGATCCAGGGGATTGGTGTGCTGGTGCGTGGCATAGTTTATCATGAGGGGAAGTAAACATGTTTTCTGGCAGCTAGAAACCACCAAGTCCAAGCTATGCCTCCTTTCCTTAGATAAGAGTCCTTACATGAGGCTCGTTAAGAGGAAAGGCTTAGGATGCCTGTGCTGCTGCTTGTGCAACTTTGGATTTCCGTTACGAAATGGGAATATTCAGGGGGACAATTAAGCCAGGTTTTTGGCTTTGCCACATAGGAGCTATTTAAGGCAGCTGGAAGAAGATGCAATCAAATCATAATTTCATTATAGCGTGCATGCTATGGCTTAACTGCGTCCTTTTTACAGAGTGTAGTTACAAAATTCTAGATGTTATACAGTTTTTAGAAGCTGTGTAGTATCTGTAAGGTCATAATGCTAAGTTCAAAGTCTCTAGTGGTGTTAAGGTTATATGCATAGGTCAGTTTTTAAATTCCTTTAAATTCTCCTCAGAAACCTAATTTTGCCCATTATTCCTCCTCTTTGAACTAAGCTGCAGTAGTAATACTTCAAAGGGGAAATCAGTGTCAGCAGCCTTACTCTGGTCAGGTACATGTGCTCAGTTGTTCAGGAGAACTGCTGTTCTCCCAGTAGAAACCAAAAGTGTACATTGCTTAGTTTTTTTTTCTCCTGGAGCAAAAATGGCCACTTTGGGAGAAAAAAAGCACAGCAACAGCCAGGGTTAAATTGCACTTGGGAAACTGAATGCCTATATGCTTTCCCTTGGGTTAACTCCTCCTGGGGATCAGGAGGAGTAGGGGCAAAGGAAAGTCTTTCTGTCTTTCTGTGCCTGGGGTCACCCCAGTTTTCAGAAGACATGGGGGATAGCTGCCCCCTCCTCCTACTGGAGCAGGTGGAGAAGAGAATAGTAGCCACTTCCCAAAACTGGTAGTCTCTGGTTTTGAGGAGAGTCAGGGGACTTTGCTGGCTCCCACTGGCTTCCCCTAGCCACTCAGTTGAATGGTGGGGCGGTGACTGAAAAGCCAGTGGTTGGGAGCAGGGGTTGGGAGACAGGTCAAGGAGACTTTCCCTGAACCTGCTCCCACCTGCTACTCTGCAGGACAGCAAGGGGGAGCAGGGAGCCAGGCTAGGAAAGGTCTCTGCCTTCCTTTCTCTCAGACCAGACCCTCTAGCTTTTAAATTGCTGCCCCTACCACTCAGCTGAGTGTCAGGGGGCAGTGGGGAGCCAGAGGGGCTGGGAGCCACGTGTGCAGAGGCTTTCCCTCCTTGTTCT